TTTATGTTCTGTGCACATACACTCCCATTTCTTTTTATGAGACATTTCCCATCTAAAAATGTGGTTTCAAACCCTTGTTTGTCAAGACTGGAGACACTTAGTAAATTATGCTCCATTTCACGTACATATAATACATCATTAAACTTTTCTCTAGACATGGAATCAGCACACTGCCTTTCCCCATGACTTTTGCCTTCTGGCCATTTGCTAAGGCCACTGCATCTCCTCCAGTTGAATCCAATCTGGAAAACAACTTAGAATTATTAACAATTGTTTGACTAGCCCCACTGTCTATTAACCATTTGTCTCTGCTATTACAATAGCTAACTTTTGTAACTGCAGCTTGTCCATTTGCTGTTCTTCATTGTAAACAGTTTTTCTTTAAATGAGTTTCAGCCCCACAGATGAAGTATTTTTTTTTCTCCTGTTCTTTCCTCTTGAGAATTCTCTGCTGAGATGTAATCCAATTTCTGCAGACAGTCAGTCTGCTGCTTTGCTCTCTCTGCTCCTTGGACCCCCACCTCAGGAATTTCTCCTCCTGGGGTCTTCTAAAATGGCGTTTCTGCTCTTCTGAAATCAAACAGGCTTTAAGTCCTTCCATACTTAATTCCTGTTCTGGTCTGCATTCAAAAACGATGGTCCATGTTTCATCAAGACCATTTAGTACCAACAGCACCTTCTGAGATTCAGGAATCTGCATTCCCCACTGTTCTAATTCAACAAATAGTTTCTGCATGTGGAGCAAATGCTCTTCTATGCTCTCTTGTTCATCTTCCACACTTAAGATGATGTAAGCCAGCGCCTTATTATGCCTCCGTTGATCTGCAGCTGCTAATTGCCCCTGGGGTGGATTAATCACAATATCCCAGAGCTCCTTAGCCATTCCATTTTTGCAACCCAAATAAGATAGTTCTTTTATCCCAATTGAAGCAGAGAGCTCTCCTTTAAATCAGCCATCCTGCAAGCCTTCAGCTGAGCAGCCTTTTTCTTTCTTAATTCAGGCAGTCCTTCAGCTTAATTACAGCTCCCTGTTGAGCCTCAATCTTTTTCTTCAGTCTGAACTGTGTGCAAGGGCTGGCTGGGACATAACCTGTTAAGAGTTTTACAGTTTTCCAGCGCAAAAATAAGCCCAAAAAATAAGCACACATTCAAAATGAGCAGGAGGCATGGTTTAGAAAAACTTTATCTATAAAATATATATAAACATGATACATACAGTCAGTGCTTTTTTTCTAAAAAAAAAAAAAAAAAAAAGGTACCAGAACTCACACACATCATACAACCCACCTTGCCTACCCTACAAGGTTCCATCCAAAAAAGGTGCCAGAACTCTGTTCTGGGCGTTCTATGAGAAAAAAAGCCCTGCATACAGTTTCATTCAGCTCTGGGGAACATCAACAACCCTGAACTTGGAGATCAGAAAAAAAAACAGAGAAGACTAAGATACGCCCAGACCTAGACTGGATCACATGCCTCACACAGCCAATACTGTGTCTTAATCAAAAACAGTTCTCATTGGCTGGTTTGTTGCTATGGCTACTCCAGTTCATAAAATTTCTTACACAGTGACATTTTCCTGAAGGTAGTGACAAGAAGCAATGGATGGAAACTAATCAAGGAGAGAACCAACCTATCAGGAGAAATTTCCTGTCAGTGAGAAAAATTAACCAGTGGAACTCTTTCCAGCACAGAAAAAAGTGACACATTAAGCACTTGTTGACCTGACAAAAACATTTTTGCTTCCACTCAAATTTTGTTTTTTTCATCATGCAGCACATAAAGTCCAACTATTATAGATTTAACTCCTTGGATTTTCACTTCCGCAGCTACTAATCTATCTTGATCATCTTTCAACAAAGGACATGGTTTCAATTGTGATTTAATATATAAAACAACTCCATTAGTCTTTTTAGAATTTGCTGATGTAAATTCTTCCCCTAAAGATTTGTTAATTCAATATTTTATATCTCTCTTTTGTGTATCAGTCTCTTGCAAGCATGTCACTTCCAAATTTCACAAATAATGAAATTTTTCCTTTTCTTTCTCTTAAGACTCTTTTAAGTCTTAAACAGAATTTTTTTCTCTGAGCTCCAAAAGGGCCATATTTCTCAACTCTCTTTCTAATTCTACATTTCTCATTTCAATTTTGGTTTCCAAAGAGTCCATTCTGTCATTAGTTTGGTTTATATATCCAATAATCCTGTCGATCTTGGAATCCAATTTTTTTTCTTTTTTTCTTTTTGCCTAAAGTTTCAAATCTAGCATCCTAGATTCAATAACTTTTACAACAAATTATGAATTCTTCAAAAACTGCTTTAATATAAAATTTTCCATATGGTATCTTTGTTCTCTCCTTGGGACTATTATAAAAGCAATAAGAAACAAGAAAACCTTTTCTTAAAATTATTTTTAAAAAAGAGACAAAGCTTTATTTGCCAATAAAAAATAAGACAAGAACTCCCTCTCTTGACCAAAAGCTAAATTACAGCTGCTCAATAATGACAACCTATGTAAATTTCAAAAAGAAATGCAAAAAGCAGCAAATTACATTTATCTTCCTTAGCCACTCTGCATATTGAAAAATAAAAGAATAACTTTCACAGAGAATAAATAAAAGAAAGGAAGCTAAACTTAGAATTTCAAAAGTAGATTCTCCAACCATCCCAAAAAAAATATTTTTCAAATTTATCAATCCACACAACTTCAATCCCCAATTAAATAGTCCCTGAACATTCACATTTCTTTTCTAATTATTACCACAATTCTATCTTCCTTACCAAAGTCATAACAAAAATAGTTTCCAAACTACTGATTTATTCCAAGAAGAAAAATTAACTCTGTGCTAAAAGAAAGCCTCTGTCAGACATAACATAAAACTAAACAAAAAAGAGAAATGCTTAGAAATTAGAGTGTTGGCCCTAGAGTCCTTTATGGGGTTATGCCCCAGCAGGAGGACAAGATGGTTACTCTACCTCTCAGCTGTTCACTCCACAAGGGATCACAAACACAGCTTCAGTGATCTTTCCAAAAGCTCCAGCTGTCCAGGGATGTATGGGGTGATTCCTGGAATCTGCCCTCAATCTCCAGGGAACTTTTCAGGATTTAGGTAGCTTGCCCTACCTGAAAACCAAATGGGGAATTAATTCCATTCAGCTCCACAATTAAGGTTTTTTTCACCAGCATAAATCTTCACCACTTTTAGCTAACCTTCAGATCTTGTTAATCAAGTGCTCATGTCCACTGCTTTAACAGTTCTCTTGGAGAGAGATCAATAAATGTTTGATGTAACGATTCCATAGAAACAAGCTGCTCTCCATTGTTCAGCCATTTTAATTTGTGAAATTTAGTCAGGGAACAAAGAACAAAAAGTATGTTTTCCTCTATATCTCAATCCAAGGTCATAGAAAAATTCAATAGAAATAAACTCCAAGTATTTTACAAATTCAAAAAATACCAGAATCCAGTGGTGAGAATCTGATAGCTCTTCACCACTGGGCTTTCCATACAGAAGGGACAGAGATTATCCAGAACAACATACTGTATGTCAAAAAGAAAAAAGGGGGAAAGCATTTAAAGTCCAGCAAGGGGTTGAAATAAATCAGCATTCAACTGCTAATCAATTCTTAAAGCAAAAACATAAAATCAAAAAGAGAAAGTTAATACTCAGGCATGCTTAGAAAATGAAACTACTTGACAGGAAATTGTATACACCAAGTGACTTTTCGATCACTTCCAGAGAGAATTGGAATCTTCAAGACCCCCCTTCCCTACTGGGTCCATGATCCTCCAAAAGTTGTCTTGGGTCATTCCTAAGTGCTCCTATTTGAAACCAGGAAACAACACTGCCAAAGAACCAGCTTTAGCAGTGAAATTAGCAGATAGTCAATAAAGAGAAAAAAGAAACTCTTACCATGCAGCAGCTATCTTGAGAGGAGGTGAATGGCTGAACAATGTCTGAAATCTAAGAAAGGAAGGTGTGGAAATATGCAGCTTCTAGATGGATTTCTCTTTTAAAAGCTTGAGCAAACTATAATGATTGTCCAAAAAATGTTAGCATCTGAAGCTTTATTTTTGGATAAAGATATACAAAAGGACTTTCGTCCAGTTCCAGATCAAAGTGATAATCTCAAAGCTGGAGAAAAGGCAAAGTGGTTTTCATCTGTTGTTCTGAAATTTAAGTCTGTATATTTCTTTAACATCGTGGCTTTGACTGGAAGGGAGAGAGATAAATTCCTCTGTGAAGATGGAGGGAGACTGAATGGCTTTATTACAGTTAACTGGCAACTGCTTCTGCTTGCACTTTGATCAGAAGATAGATCTACTCTGGAGACTGAGTCTGCTATATTTAATCAAACAACAATTGACAAGAGATGGTATTAAAAAACAAACATGGATATTTGACCCAGGACAATCTATTTATAACTTTTGGGATGATTTGGGATAGATTAGATGCTGTGGTAAATTTTCCACAAGTTGATTACAATAACAACTTGTTAACAGAGAGTTTTGAAATTGTAATTTTGTTCTGTTTCACTATAATTGTTCTTCCTATTAACTGCTTTGTCATTAATATAACATATGGAAGACAGGCCAATAAGTTGCAAATAGATTTAGTAGCTTAAAAATTTTGGGAGGGCCTGTTTTGCAAGAGGTGGGAACTAATGTTGAAGTAATATATTAATCAATATCCAACTAGAGGGGTATGTGTATAATGTGATTTTTCTTTGATGCATCTTTTTTTAAAGCTTTGATTGGTTTGTATTTTATTGGGGTTTTTTTGTCTTCTTAGATTTTGTTTTGTTTTGTATTTTAACTTTGTTTTGAATAAAATAAAAATATATATTAAAAAAAGAAATAAGCTGCTTTTCACATCTTTTATTTTTGTTAATCTAACAATTGTGGAAATATCTTCAAAGAAATAATATGTGTTATAATGGTGATGCTTTGCTATTACAAATGGATTTTAAATTTGACCTCTTGTCTTTACCTTTTCATTTCAGGACTTGTTTTTTCACATGGTGAGAACTGGAAAGTGATGCGACGGTTCACATTATCCACATTACGGGACTATGGAATGGGTAGGAGGACCATTGAAGACAAAATCATTGAAGAGTGTAGTGTCTTGACAAAAACAATTAAGACTTATGCAGGTGGGTTTTCATTTCTTCCTAATGCTTTACTGAATAACTTTCAGGACAAACATAGAGTGTGAAATAATAATACCTTGAGAGACAGGGCAACTAGAAATGTGGGTAGGGAAAGAGGCTCAAAAAAGGTCTTTCTTAGCTTTTTGGGCTGCAAAAGTGATGGATGGAGAGAAGCACTTTCAGACTTGCAAAATTCTGTTAATGTAACTTACAATAAAATAGAATTAACTCATCTGGTCATGTTTCCTGTCTGGTCTACCTAGTAACCTGACAGGATATCAAAATCTTTTCTGGTAATGTCCATAGTAGAAATAGTTTCTTATTCCAAATTCTTGAATAGCTAGTTTTATACAATCTAACAATATCTTATAAATGAAAGTTCTAGGCTTAATAATTTATATACCGTAATTAAGGGAGGAATACTAGCGTAAAATGCTACATATAAAGATAGAAGCATGTTGTGAACTGGAATTGTTGCTCCTTCCTGCTTTGAATCAAGGATAATAATGTTTCAGTTTCTGAAAGAACATAAACATCTAGGTATATATTTCATACCCTATTGAATTCTCCAACAAAAGTACTGTGTTTTAATTGTAAATATTGAATTCTCCTGTATGATAACTGCAGCTCAGTTATAAGGATCAAATTGGAATTGGTGCATTTATTTATTTATTTATTTATTTATTTATTTATTTATTTATTTATTTATTTATTTATTTATTTATTTATTTATTTATTTATTTACCAACCAAATAGATATATTTGACTGCTCAATGCACACACAGTGACTCTTGGTGATGTACAACATCCCTCACCATTCATCATCATACCTAACTGGTAGCTAATACAAAGGGAAAAAGCATTCCATATTTTCCAAATTATTAATCCTTGAAGCCCCCTCCCCCAGGATTATAAAATGTGTTGGATGGGCCTGGTACACAATATGAGAGCTGCAATAATTGGCATGAGCATGGGATAGCAGCAAAGAGATAACCATTGGCATGTATGTTTAAACTTTTGCAACCCAGAATAGCAGTATATTTACATTCAACAATCTGACAATTTTTAGATGCAATAAAATATTATCTCTGAGTACTGAATGTTTAAATGGTAAATCTGTTGTTAAAACAAGGGTTATCTGAAACAAAAATGTAATTATTATCAGAACATTCATTTTTATCATACAAATTCCCTCAAACAGTTCAGTTTTCAATTTTTCCATTTTCCCATTTTAAAATAAGTCATATTTGTCTTACTAATACCTGAATATTACTTAAAACCAGTTTTCTCCCTCATTTGATTTGATCTTCTGATTTTCTTTGGGTTTTTTGTCAGCATTTTACTATTCTGGCTATTAATCTTGAGACCTACTAATAAACCAAAGTCCTTTAATTTTCCCAATCTCAAATCTCTCTAGTGAGATTTCTAGAATTAATACCAAGCCATCCACATTCCTTTTTAATCTTTATTCCGATAATTTTCTGTTCTTGTCTTATGTCTCTGTTCAAATGCTCTTTTATCTTCATTTGGGCTATACATTATCAATATCAAAGTCTTACCTACCTGTGGATTAATTTCCACCCCAACATTAGCCACCCAGGAATGACATGAATGAACACGTGGCTGAGTTAAAAGTCATAAAGACCCTGACCACTTTGAATTTGAGGAATTCAGGTTCAAACTGTTACCAAAGACTACTCCCTAGGCATCTTCACAAGTTGATGTAAGAGCAAATTGAGCTATTTTATCTGCAAATTCCTCTGCTCAGCCCTGAAGGGGGACATCAGGCTTTCCCCCATCCAATCAATCCTGTTATCCATGATTAAACTAAATTTGAGGGAGGCTTTATCACAAACTGACTAGACATTTAATAGCAGTAGCCAAAAACAGGGCATCTGTAAGTCTGCTGCTCAGGAAATAGGGCTGAGTTTAGGGAGCTCCAATAAAAGTGGAGTTATGATGGCATAAGATGATTGGATAGAATTTTCCAAGAGCATCCTATCTCCTTCCTCCCATCTTACCTCCTCATATCTGTAACCACTGAGATATACTAACCATCCCTAATCCCCCCAAGTCCCAACATCCCCCAACCCAGACTTCCTAGTTCTCCAAACAAGGGATCCCTGCCCAGAGTCACTTTGAAATGAAATGGGTGGCAAATAAATTTAATAAAAAATAAAACCCCCACATCTTTCAACCAAATACATACAACTGAGGGAACAGGAGTAATCTAGGTCCCTGGTCACTTAAACACCCATCAGTGACACAAACACTACCGTTTATCTGTCAGCCACCCATGCACCAGCCACTCCACCAGGATATTACATCTATATTACACAAAGTTCCCATTATTGCCTCCTGGTTTTTACCCAGAAGGAATCAGTGCCTTACACAGGAAGAGTCATCCTTTGCCCACAACACAACCCTATCAACAGTAACTAGGCCAACCAGATGATAAAATTTAGACAAAATCTGGCAGAAGCACAGCATGGTCATCACACCATCCTTTCTGCACACCCAGTGATGAAGAAGACAAGATGGTTCCTACAAAATGATCACAGCAACCTTCAAGAACAAGCCCTCCAGGGCTACTTATCTTCCTCAGTTCATTCACCCAAGATCATCCTGCTCTGATTCCTCAAAAAGAGAAGCAAAAGCCCTCCATTCAAGAAGGGAGGGAATTGATGGCAGAGGGAACTCTGCCACCAGTCCTCAGCATAATCTGCGTAGGTGTCATGCTACTACCAGCAGGAAGCCAAATGTTGCTATCTTGTGACTGTGTACCACAGCTGCCTAACAAATAACCTCCCCCACCACCCCAGGAGAAACCCGCCCCCCTAGCCTTTGACCAACAACAACAAGCAAAACACTCCTACTGTTACTGCTGCTGTCACCCAAAAAACTCAGGACTATCACCAAGAACCAGGTCTCTACTACCACCCATCCAACTGCCAGCTGCATTGCTACCACAAAATAGAAAAGCAGCAGTAAGCATAATCCAGCAAGCTTCCTCCAGAGTGATCCTGGTGCAGCTCCCACCAGTGATGGCAATCAGCAGAAGCAAATACAGAACCAATACAGCTCTCTCTAGTCATGGCCAACAGCCTGAAAGGGAATCTGAGTCCTGAAGTCCAGCACATTGGGCCAAGGTCTCACTCAGGGTAAACTGGCACATCACCAGAGTATACCAAACATAACCAGGTAGGCTAAAGAGACTCCACCAAGACATCATGCCTCTTGTGCCAACCTCCAACATATTAAAAATCCCAAACATTGCAACCCAGCATTTCTCATCCAATATCCTACAATAATCCAAACTGAAATATTTCTGAAACCTGGCAGTCATTTGCTATTTAAAACTGCAATCATTTAATGAGGATATATCCAGAGTTTACCCTGAAGGACTTCCTCATTTGCAAAGAAATCCTTACTGATATATGAACAATAAAAATTCAGTTGTGCCTCTGTGACAATCAGTTTCCATTCAAGTAGTTGTTCATGTTCTTTAATCTAAATACCTCCTATTTTATCAGCACTGACTGTAGTTTCTATGATATGCTCCCTTTATGTAAGCTGATTTTGACTCTAAATTCATTGGCATTCATTCACAATTCTGTTTTGATCTATTGTTTGTTACCCAGGGAAACCATTTGAGGTCACAACAATTATGACTGCTGCTGTTTCCAATATCATTGTTTCTATTCTATTTGGGAAGCGCTATGACTATGAAGATGCTACATTTCTACGACTTATGAATATAATCAGTGAAAATATACGGCTTTCAGGGAGCCCAAATATATCGGTAATCTAATATTTCATTTGAAGAAAAATACATGAAGTATACTGTAAGTAAATGTGTGTCATTTGTGCTTTGTTGCTAAGCAAAGCATATTGCTTGTCATAGCAAGATTGTGTTCAAATGATAAAATGAACATGATATCATGATTCAAATTTTATATAGTTGCATTGAAATATCTGATGTAAGTATACAAATCACTTTTTTTGCTGTGACATCACTTACTGTCCCTTGTTTCTATAAGCAAAAGTCCATGTTACTTGTGAATGCACTCATATTGTAGGGTTGACAGCCTTCTATTGGAAATGCCACTTCAATCTCTTCCCTGTCTCACACACAAACACATTTTACTTCACAACTCTAGAAGTACTAAATAGTTTCCTTGACTTGAACTTGCATCAATTTCTTAGATTAATCATTCTCATTGCTTCTTTGGGAATCAACAGGATGTGAGCATGAGGAACTCATTCACAAGTATTTTGGAAAATGAGCACTTCTTCTCCCAATAACTGTATGGAGATTTAGTCCATTGGATTTGGGCCTTAGTAAATTTGAAATATTGACTATGTATAGCTTCCTTAATCATGTGCTTTTGCTTATTACTGTAGTTTATTTTGGTACATTATTTTCATTAAAATGCTTTCAGATGTCTGACAATTATATTCAGAGTATTCAATGTATTTAATATGTTTTTCTTCATAATTCTTTCAGCTATATAACATGTTTCCCACACTGGGCTTCCTTTTGGGTTTTCATAAAAGAGTAATGAATAACAGAAAGGAGTTCCATGATTTCATACAGTCTACCTTCATAGAATATCTCAAAAAACTTGATGAAAATGACCAGAGGAGTTTTATTGATTCATTTCTTATTCGACAAAGAGAGGTAATGGATTATTTTATATATGCCTTGAAGTACAAGCTATTTTTAACTTTTTTTTTTAATATGACTACTTGTAAATTACATGTGGTTGGTGAAAATTTTTGCTTTAGAAATGTGTGTGTGTCAATGGGAGGGGGAACCAAATTTCTTGCCCTTTCTAATCATTCCTTCTTGATTATTTGTTTCAGAGCCTACAGTCATTTCAATTACAGTCAGTTTACTATGTAGTTGTTGTTGTTTGCATTAAAAAGATCATCAATATATAGCCTATTCTGATCAAGCCTTCAGTGGACCAATCGATTTATTTTTTTATATAACAATTTTATTGTGTATAATCAGGTATCAGGGAGACAGCAGAGAGTGTGGGCTGGAGCTGGCCTGGACTGTATATTAAAATCTTCAGGCTGGGGGAGAGATGGTGGAGGACTGCAAATTGGCTGTTGCAGGGGAAGCAGGGAGGCTAATGGTTGGTGTCCCTTCTTTTCTGGCTATAGTCTAACTGAGAACATTAAGATGTGATTTCAAAGCATTAGACCTAAAGGTCCTGCTTTTTAATATCAGATTGGTTGTAGGAAAACATCAGTTATCTGGGACTTAACCACTGGCCTGGCATTTATTATGGAGGCCTGGCAGAGACAAGTGGAGGATTTTTAATGAAATTAATGAAATCTTTAGGAATTTTATCTCACTGACTGGACATTCATCTGAAAGAATGGTGTGTTCAATTCTGGCACCTTATTTTCAAAAGGCTAATGATAAGCTAGAGAAAGAGTTCAAAGGAGGACAGCAAAGACGATTCAGGAANCCTGGCATTTATTATGGAGGCCTGGCAGAGACAAGTGGAGGATTTTTAATGAAATTAATGAAATCTTTAGGAATTTTATCTCACTGACTGGACATTCATCTGAAAGAATGGTGTGTTCAATTCTGGCACCTTATTTTCAAAAGGCTAATGATAAGCTAGAGAAAGAGTTCAAAGGAGGACAGCAAAGACGATTCAGGAATGTGAGGACATACCCTATGAGAATAGGGTGAAGGAACTTGGGATGTTCAATTTGGAGAGAGAAAGATTTAACAGAGATATGATAGCTGCATTCAGGCATATTAGAAGTTACACAGAAGGTAGATGAGAGATATTTTTCAAAGCTAGGACTAGAAACCTCAGGTATAAGTTGAAGCTATCTAAATATTGGAAAAGATGGTGGGATATGCACAATAGTGGAATGATCTATGCAGCTTGTGAGTTCTCTGTCTTTGGAGGTTTTCTTAGAGACTGAAGTGACCTTTCATAGATGGTTTAATTGATATTCCTGCATGCTACAAAAATTGGAAAAGATGGTTACTATGATCCCTTCTTATTCTACGATACTTTGATTCTATAATGATAATGTCCTGATTTTGAATGCTTGCTACTACCATGTATACTAAAGGCTTACCTCCTGATCAGTTCTCGGCAAGTGGAGTTAGAGCGTATAGTGTAAGGTATGAATCCGTAATTACCAAGAGATGTTATCATTGCCTCAAGTAGAACAGGATAAATGGAAGGAGGCTATGGACAGAGAAATGGAGTCTATGAATGTGCATCAGGTGTTTACCCTTATGAAATTACCAGAAGGAACAAAGGCTGTGGGGTGTAAATGGGTATATAAAAAGAAGGTTTTACACAATAATGAACTGCAGTATAAAGCACGGTTAGTTGCGCAAGGATTTACACAGAGAAGGAATGTTCTTTAAATGCAGGCAAGCATCAAGAATATATAAAAGCATTTGGGTTAACAGCTGTTTAGCTTTAAATGGGAGGAGTGTCAAGGTAATGATTTAAAAGCTAACTAACTGATATAATGTAAGATGTAATGATGGGAATGACTCAGCAGGGTATGTGTCTCTTTAAGAGCTTTGTATAAAAGAAAGGCTCTGCTGCTGTGTTCTCTCTCTTCCTTTTCCTGCTGTAACTGCTATGTGTTGGAGACTGCTGTATTAACACATGAATGTATATTGTTCCTGGTGTATGATATTGTAGATAGTGTAAGATAAACCACCATTTAATATAGACCACTGTTTACTGTGTTTACTCCTGGGTTATCTCAGCACAATAAAACTGTACAATTAAAACCAATGTGTGCTTAAAACAAATGAACAGCTGAAGGGAAAATGTGGTAAAGGACCCAAACTTCCAATCGCTCACTACCAAGGATTGCAATCTTCAAGATCTCTCTACTTTAAAGATTCACGATCATCCAAAAATCTTCTTAAGTCCTTCCTAGTTGCTCATATTCATTTCTAAGGAGCAAAGCCACCAAATAGCCAGCTTTGGTGGGAAAATCAGCTGTTCAGTGACAGGACAGAAAAAATTGCCTGCCCCTCAGCACGCAATCTTGGGGGAAGTCCTTCATGGGAAAAGTTCCTCAGCAGCCCATTCTCCTGACAGTGTTTTCCACTCTAGTGATAATTCTATGGTCTAATTTTTTGGGAATGATGCCCTTCGTTTCTTCCTTCTGTTCTTCCTTTTGCCAATTATACATTTTAGACTGATGACACAGACTGTCTTATCAGACTCTATAAGCTTTTCTTTTAGAGAAAAAGGTTAAATAAAAACAAAGAAAGGAAGGAAGTTAATATATAGCAGGTTCAATACACTATGTCAATATTTTTCTCTGTATAGTCGCCAATATTCCTGACTTATAGATGACTTTTCTAGACATTCACTCTTTTATTTCCTTTCCTGTAAAGAAGTACAACATCTCTCACTGTTTTTGGATGACAGCTTCAATAGTCCTTTATCATTTTGTAAAAGGTAAATGATGCCCCCTAATCTGGACTCCACTAAAGTACATAGTCCACTGAAGAAGTGTCCTATTAGTCTTCTGGAATTTAGGTTGTATAAATATATTGTGTTTCCTTGATAGTACTTCTCTTTTTTAAATACACCTCAGGAGAGTAAGAAGATGACTAATGGATATTTCCATAATGAAAATCTTAAAGCTACTTCGGGCAACTTATTTGCTGCTGGTACAGAAACAACTGCTAGCACTCTGCGCTGGGCCATACTCCTGATGATGAAGTACCCAGAAATCCAGAGTAAGCATGTTTCATTTTATTGGCTTTGAATCAAAAATAGAATAGTAATTAAAAGATTACTAGATGAACAAGGGAAAATAGGAAGTAAGAATAAATTGTCCTCTCTGTTGATATTAAGGAATTCCTCAATGTGAGAATATGAAGAGGTATAAGATATTTCTGCATTGAGAGTTCACACATGTATGCTTCATTTTATATTCTCATTACCCCATTCTACTATTTCTTAGAAGAAGAGTACATCACATCTTAATATCAGCCAAAACTGAAGGGACTGTTCTGTGAAGAATAATATATTCCAACCATGATATGATCTTGACTCATCTCTATGTGCTCCACCCAACATTTAATTCTTTCTGTTGTTTGAAAATGTAAACTAATAGTCAATTAGTAGTCCATCTCATATTCATAAACAAGGAAAAAGATGGCAAAATGCTAACAAAAAAATCAAAGCTTTATGTTATTAGGTATGCACTACAAATGTATTTAGCTATTTAAATATTTAACTTTTAAAAAGTTAAAACTTTTAAATATTATCCTTATTATTTTTAAAAATTGTCACTAACATTTTCTGTATCTATTTTCTTCGGAGATAAATATTGTGTTTCTCTAATGTACAGATAGTCATCAACTTACAACAACAACTGGAACCAGAACTTCCATTGCTAAGCGAGGCAGTTGTTAACTGAATCATACCCAATTTTAAAATATTTTTTGCAGCAGTTAAGTGAATCACCACAATTGTTAGTTGAATCATGTGGTCCTTGAACAAGTCAGGCTTCCCACATTGACCCTGCTTGTCAGAAGCCAGCTGGAAAGCTCACAAATTATTATCACTTGACCACAGGGAGCTGCAACTATCATAAATACATGCTGGTTGCCAAGTGCCTAGATTTTGATCTCATAACCCCAGGGGTGCTATGATGGTCGAGAGTGTGAGGATTGGTCATGCATAATTTTTTCAATGCCATCGTAACTTCAAACAGTTGCTAAATAAATGCTTTAAGTCGAACACCGTGCAACCAATTCTTTATGTTTTATCCTTCACAATTTGAAATTTTTGCATAAACTCTCATTTAAAACAAAATTTAAGCAATGAGTCATCTTGATACATAATCTATCATCCCAGGTAAGGTCCAAGAAGAAATTGCAAAAGAGATTGGGGTTCGTCAGCCAGGGACAGAAGACCGAGCCAAAATGCCTTACACCAATGCAGTAATTCATGAAATTCAAAGATTTGCAGATATTGTTCCAACCAACTTGCCACATGCAACCACCATGGACATAACTTTCAAAGGCTTCTTCATCCCCAAGGTGATCAGTCTAAAATCACTGCATTATTCAGATTCCAATGTTTTTAGTACAGTATAAACCATTTTACATAGGAGTTATTAAGCACCGATAATCTGTTTCCCTATTTTTCCTTAAAGTGTTTTTGAAACTTTGTGTTTCTCCTTGTCTAGTATTTACCTTTCATTATTTAAAAAATCATACATTTCCAATGCTGTTTTAAAATTTTAATTATTTTTATAGTAATATATTAAATAGACACACTTTTAAATATAGATTTTTCCCTTTTGATGTTTAGGGTATGCAAATTGTTCCATTGCTATCATCAGTGCTCCATGATGAGTCTCAGTGGGAGAAACCCTATGAATTCTATCCTGAGCATTTTCTTGATTCTGAAGGAAAATTTGTGAAAAGAGATGCATTCATGCCTTTCTCTGCAGGTAATATTCTCTATACATGTGTGCATGTGTCCACGCATAATACGAATGCTTTATATTTTGGAAAGAAAAGTTCACAAGACACAGAGGAACATTGGAAAAAGTAGTAATAAAGCCATGATGTATTAAACTTCCAATTTAACAGAGTTTAGACATAAGATTGCCTGATGCTGCCATGAACTTACACTGCACTACTATGGCAACCATTTTCTAAAAACAGTTAGGCTTTTGAACATAAAACAACAGCAACAAAAACTATCACAGAGATAGTTTATGGAAATATTTATGAATTTCTGAGATTAATACCAAGGTCCTTCAATGTCCCTTCTAGTTCTATGATTCTCTGAAGGAATCTCTGAAGGATGTTATGGCAATCATATCTAACTCACAAAGGCATTGTCCTTATTAAGGACATGAAGGCATTATTGGAAATTGTCTAACTCAGGGGTCCCCAACCTGTGGGCCATGGCCCAGTACCGGTCCGTGGTCTGTTGGCCACCGGGCCATAGCAATGGATGGTGAGTGTAGACATGTGTGCATGCACTCCCCCCACTCATGCTAGTGCCGCCATGAGGGGGCTAGCCGCTGCATGAGCACTAGCGACCCCATTTGCCTGGCCGATCTACAACAGTGAGTGGTCCTGTGGGCAGGTGGGGCGGGGGATGGGGGGGCAGAGCGGGGGCGGGGCATGGAGCAGAGCAGGGGCGGGGCCAGTTTTTGGGCACTCAGTCTTTAAAAGGTTTGCCATCACTGCTCTAGATATTCGCAGATTCATTGCTTGATTATGTTTTCCAGAATGTTGATATACTGGTAGCTCTGTAGTGTCCAGGATCTTTTTTTTTCTTTTTTGAAGATGGGAACTACATCAGTTCTTTTCCAGTCCTCTGGTAGTTCTCCGGTGCTCGAGGATCTTTGAAAGATATAATTCAATGGTTCTGAGATCACATCTGCCAGTTTCTTCAGAATAAAAACTTTATTTATTTGGGGTGTAATCCATCTGGTCCTGGTGATTTGACCTTGTCTAGAGTGAACAGGTGCTCTCTTACCATTTTTTTTTTGCCTATTTTAACTTGTACTCCTATTCTGTTTTTTATGGTACTGTTTTTGATAGGTTGGACTGTTGTGTCCTGAGCCTGCTGAAGCATTCAGCAGGCTCAGAAATGTTGCAAATGGTCCTGAGCAGACCAAAAGCTGTCCAAAACCAGACTGGCTGTCGCCAGCCTTGTGCACATGCACAAGGCGCAAAAACACCCAGATTCCTATTGGCTGACGCTGTCTGGGTTCAGGACAGTATAAAAGGCCTGCGTGCCTTTTCGGTTGTTGCTGGTTG